AATTACAGGGGAGTGGAGTGAATACCTTCAAAATAGTATCTTTATTTTACCCCATCTTATTTATCTTGCTAATCACATTTAATATCATTTTGAAACAAAAAACAAAGACAGAAAGGTGCACATATTTCTACCCCATACTGGTTTCCAAACTGCAGGTTGAGCATTCATGATAAACTCCTGCATTAAGTATATATGATCCACTATCAGTGCACGTAAGTAAGATACATTAGAAATGCTTCCCGGGAACTCTGTTAGATTTTATTTCATGATAATCATTTTTTCCTTAGCTAGTATAGAAAATTATTTAATAATATGCAAATGGTGAAGTAACAGACAGCATTCCTAAGATACATCATGCATCTCGACGCATTGGTTCTATCATTGCTTCTGTAAATTGTCCTTTAACTCTACAAATAGAATGTCTAGAAAAATTTTCTAATGATTCAGATCACATTTGAGTTTTCTTTAAAGTTTACTTTTTTTAGAAGCTTCCTAAATAGTTGAATAAAAAACTTCTCAAATTTTCCTCAAAGGGTGAATTTCACTCACTATTTTCTGGAATACAGGAAACGAGGCTCATGGAACAGCACATCTCACTGGCATTTACATTCAGTGCCCCAAATCAGAACCAAACCACTGTTCAAGTCTTCTAGAAGAACACTGGATTTGAGTCCCTGAAGTGCTGCTAAAGTTTTATTTTTTGGCCTACATATTTATTATATGGGCATTGAGTAATTGTTGGACTTTACACGGGTGGACTTTACGGGTTTTTGCAACTGTATTTCACAATTAAAAGAAATAAAAGGCAGCTATTTTTAGTATTACTTAAATGTTAATTTATGTAACAATCCCTTAAACCTGACCTGAGTCCCCACTCAGGTAAATTTTAATATGGCATCTACTTTAAAAAACTAATTAATTCAATTTCGTAGTAAACCGGCAGCTTCGACCCACATCCACTCTAATACCTGCTGCAGAAGGAGGCTGGCTGTTTACACTGAGCCTCCTAGTTGCTACATGCCCTCTGCTCATAGTCCAGGAGGTAACTCAGAAACTGAGTCTGAGAACAGAGGCCAGGTGCGGTGGCTCACGGCTATAATCCCAACACTTTGGGAGGCTCAGGCGGGTGGATCACCTGAGGTCAGGAGTTTGAGACCAGTCTGGCCTAGATGGTGAAACCCCATTTCTACTAAAAATACAAAAATTAGCTGGGTATGGTGGTTTGCACCTGTAAACCCAGCTACTCAGGAGGCCAAGGCAGGAGAATCACTTGAACCTGGGAGGCAGAGGTTGCAGTGAACCACTGCACTCCAGCCTGGGCAACAGAACGAGATCTCTCAAAAAAAAAGAAAAGAAAAAATATTAAGAACCAAACATATAATTCAGTTGTGGGGTGTGGCCACCCTCCTTTGACCAAAGTAGTTCTTTGTTTTACATACACAATGCCCCCATTTTTCTTTGAAGAAATATGGCTAAAATAAAGTTTGAAAACCACTGATCACATATTCAGAACTTGGGTTTCATCATTTTTAAGTGTCTAAGCCCTGGTACACTGAAAACAGTATAAGGAAATCACTAGGTGATTTCCTTCCAAATCACCTTTCTGTACATTTGTCCCTAGATTCCTTTTCAAGTTATATACATGGCACATAACAGTCAGACTTCAATAAAATGGTAGTCTTTAGTGTATTTACTGCTTATATTGTTTAGTTTGGCTGCTTCCTAAGACCTCCAAGGATTCTGATTCTATTTAATCAGGTTTCAGTCACAAAGTATTTGATTGCTTCTTCAGTATTGACACATGAAATTTCTAGTTTTTACTAAAAATGTCCTGTATCCAACCTTTTGTGTTTAGTTTTTTTTTGACACGGAGTCTCACTCTGTCACCCAGGCTAGAGTGCAATGGCACAACCATGGCTCACTGCAACCTCCACCTCCCAGGTTCAAGCAATTCTCCTGTCTCAGCCTCCCAGGTAGCTGGGATTACAGGCACGCACCACCACGCCTGGCTAATGTTGTAGTTTAGAGACAAGGTCTCACCATTTTGGCCAGGCTGGTCTCAAACTCCTGACTTCAGGTGATCTGCCTGCTTCGGCCTCCCAAAGTGCTGGGATTACAGGCGTGAGCCACTGTGCCCGGCCTAGCCATTACTTTTCTTTTTTCCCTTCAAAGTTAAAGTTAATTTAGTTTGGGGCCTTGGCTACTATTTTTCTTGCTAGATGAATACCAAAGGAACAGAAAAAGAACTTTAAAAACTAATAATTTTCAGATAATGACTTTCCTTTCTTTAAAGGAAAAAAATCGGCCGGGCACGGTGGCTCACACCCTGTTATCCCAGCAATTTGGGTGGCTGAGGCAGGGCAGATCACGAGATCAGGAGTTCAAGACCAACCTGACCAACATGGTGAAACCCCGTCTCTACTAAAAATGCGAAAAAATTAGCCGGGTGCAGTGGCACGCACCTATAATACCAGCTACTCAGGAAGCTGAAGCAGAAGAATCGCTTGACCCCAGGAGGCTGAGGTTGCAGTGAGCTGAGATCATGCCACTGCAATCCAGCCTGGGCGACAGAGCAAGACTCCCTCCGTCTCAAAAAAAAAAAAAAGGAGAAAAATAGAGAGATATTAAAGTTGATAGTAAGAAATGGTTCTAACTGGATAACAACTAAGCTGTATGCAGGGACGCCAAAGAAATATGATTGATATTTTTCTTGGGGAGGAGTAGTTGGACAATAAATGGCTTGACAACCCTTCATTCAACTTGAACATTCTGTTCTAGTAGAAAGTGAAATAATTTATTCATCAATCACAGAAAATATTATTGAAAAATCATGCAGGAATGGATAACCAATGTCTAGAAAGCAGGTCAATATAGGACTTTAGCACAATTTTTGAGGACAAAGCCCACAAAGTAGTAACACAATCCCTGTAGGACTGACCTGGTTCCCAATTGCTGCTTGCTTTTGTTACTTTCTCACTGTTGTTACTCAAAAATCTAAACAGCAAGGAAAAATCTGTACCAAAAAAAGCTGCATTCGACAGGGAAAACAATTCAAATTGGAGCAGGCCCTTGATAATACATATCAAAGTCCTTAAAGTTACACATATCCCTATGACAATTATCCTAGCCAATGACAGCAGTGACAGGCTCCAGGAATTTAGGTCAAAAACTTATGACAATATCATTCTTCAAAGTCAACTAACTTTACCATTAAAAAAAAAATTCTCATTTTAGCATCAAGAAAAATCTCGATGTCTCAGGAAACTGTCTCATCTCACTCATCTGAAAAAAATAGTATATCCCATCTTGGTAACCAACTTTATTCACTAAACTTGATTATACATTATTGTAGGCAGGTGTGTTTGGTTTTTTGGTTTTGGGGGGTTTTATGTGCAGATTTCTTGGTGTGTGTATGGCCTTTTTACAAAGTTCAACTGCATCCATATGGGATGATTCACTAGTTGAGGATATTCAAGATATGCAAGTATTAGAAGCATTAATAATAGAAGAGCCTCTGAAGCGACTCATTTCAAGGAGGCTTTAGAAAGATGCAGTCCCTTAATCTGGTAGAAAATCACGTTCTGGGGGGGATTTTCAGAAATTTCAGCATATAGAGAAGTGACAATGATAAGAGGCAATACAACATACTTGAGCTTGGGTTTTGAAATCAGATATGGCCTTGAATTATTGGACCAAATTACTTTGTGTAGGTTTCTCCATCTGAAAAGTAGGCCAAATGAGAAGAGCTCCTCATAAGAGGAAATGAGAGTACATAAGTAAACCATGGGATATCTGCACCATGCTGGGCACTTTAAATATATCATCTCATCTAACAGTCATGCTCTATGAGACAGCTATTAGTCCTATTTCAGATGAAGTAAGATTAAAAGGTTAAATTCCCAGAGGTTACATGTCTAGTAAAAGGCAGAGCCAGGATTCACTCTCAGTAACAGAATTCTAAAATACGCATTTCCCTTAAATCAGGATTCTTTAAATGTTATTAACCAAGAGTATTTTTCTAGAGTTTTAAATAGGATTATCATAAATGTACACTAAACAACTTCCTCCACATCAAAGGTCACTATAAAATATTTTGAATAATCTTCATATTAACTTGAAACAAGCCAATTTACGAAATTACCAAACCACCTAATTAGATATATTAAATTTATTTGTTCTTTGTAATTTTTGCTTTTCTGATAATCATTATCCCACAAAATACACATTCCAAGACTGAGGAAAGTGAGGTAACTAAAAGTGCTTTCACAATACATTCATGCTATTGTGTCCTGCAATCTATAAAAGCAACCCACTACAGTATATAGATTTTAGCTTTGGTATCCAATTAAATACCCTCAAAAATGAATCATTTTTAAAGGTTATATGGTAAAATAAAAACATCTGATTATGTAATTCAAGCATAAAAAAAGTATCGTTTTTATTACTAGAATACAAAATAGGAGTAACTGCTACATACTTAAATTAAGCTTACGTTCAATTTTCCTATTCCAACACGATTGGCCCATGAAAGGTCTTTCTTTTCTCTGTATATTATCACCATTATTGCTCAATGTGCAGTATCTAAAAATAGAATCTAGAAAGCCAGAAACCACAAAAATAACATCTTGGGGCCAGTTTGAAGCAAAGTAAACAGAATATACAATGACAAACACAGGCAGAATCACCTAAGACAAAAACAAAATTCCACTTCATTACTAACGAATGTAGTTAAATTGAATAGGCTCATTATCAAGAGCTGAACATGGCTCTCTGTTCTTTCCAGGATTCTAAAAGATTCGTAAACACAAAAACCATCCAGTTCTAGATTTGAAAATTGAAGGGAATTGCTTTGCAGCTATTCTGGCTCAGGAAGTTGCTGTAAAAAAATAAAATAAAGATGTATATCACACAATTACCTGGCTGTCTAATTTATAATGACAAGTCGTGGGAAGCCTATTTGCAGGAATTGGTTCTGACTTGGAGAAAAAAAACACAACTTCTTGAAAAGGTAAAATAGCTTAAAGCATTTAATATCTAAACAAATCAATCTGTTAATAGTAGTCACAAAATATGCTTAATATAGAAACCCACATTCATGTCTTTAAGAAAAAGTGTAAATTGTATTCCACCTCAAAACATAAATTAACCCTTAATTAAAGAATCTGCAGCGGTCAAAGTCATGGTGAATTTTAAACAACTTCAGAATAAAATAACAATAAGTACTTTATACTGCTTTATATCTAAAAAATGCTTACAACTTCTCATAAAAATAGTTTGAAGCAACTATTTTTTCTTTTATTTTTTAACAGACATGTTCAACATTACGGGCAACATTTTTAAAACCTTAAGCTTTACAGACTTTCAAACATTCAAATACTGTGGTCCCTTTTCTTTGATGTGGTTTATTCAGCTAGAAAAGAAAACATGGTAGACAACTTAATACGTTTTCACCAAATTGAAAGTAGTACAAAAATTTTAGAACTCTACCGAACTACACGTCGTACCTAACGTATCATTAAAAATAGAAGACAGTATTTTCTTCAGCAAATAAAACAGCATACTAATATGCTGTTAATGCATACCTTTTAATGTGTACTGTCATTCATAAATTATTTACAACTTCTACTGTGTGAAGAGAACTAGAATGTAAATTTTCTGCAAAACTGGAAAAAAAGCAATACAAAATTTGTGAAAGCCTGTGTTTTATGCTGTACAAAAGTCAGTTTTTCTCTTCAAATACCAGATATTGTATGCAGTGATATTTTGGACACATTATAGTAATTCTTGAGGATGTTTTAATGCTGGAGGTAAGTTTACAGGCCTCGATTCTTCATCAAGGAGTACTAGATCTTCTATTTCACTGCCTCTGTATTTCCTTTTACATATTTTTACCACCACCTTTTTCTTGAGAAATAACTTCAATGCTTCTCTTGATGCAACTGCTTTTGCATTTTCTTTGCTTTTTCCACAGCCAGTGCCCAAATACACAGACTTGCACCTCAATTCACAAACAATACTTTCTTGAGAGCTCTTATTTTGAGGCAGATCTGCTAATTCTTTTAGTGGGACAAAAAATACATCCAGTGTTGCTTTCAGAGCCTCAATAGCTGCATTTAGAAGCTCTCCATGATTCACATTGGGACTAAAGCCACCAACAGCTACCAACTTCCATGCCACCGTTTTATACAGTCTATTGAAAAAAGGCTGCTTCTGTTTCACATCTTCATTGGTTAACTTGCAAGAGAATTTGACAGCACTCTCACTTGACTGTGAAGTACTTTTAGAAGGCAACTGTGAGGTGCTAGTCTGAGAACTACTCTTAGAAGCCAACTGGGACACACTTGCTAAGGAAGTGCTTTTGGAAACCAGTGATCCACTGGTCTGGGAGCTGCTCTTGGAAGCTAGAAGTGACGCAGCTACCTGGGAAGTGCTTTTGGAAGTTAGCAGCGATGTATTTGTTGAAGAGCTGCTCTTGGGAGTCAGTAAGGATGTGCCTGATGAGGAACTGTTTTTAGCAACTGATGATGAAACACTTGCCTCTGAACTAGTTTTGGAAGTTAACCCACTTGAAGCTGTCTCTGAACTAGGTTTGGAAGACAACAGTGGCAATTCTACTTCTGAGCTTCCTGAGGAGCCCAACAAGGGCACCTCGATCTCTGAGCTGCTTTGAGAAGCTGAGGCTGAAGAGCCTTCCAAAGCACTCTTTTTAGGTGATCCACCTTGTTGTCTAGAATCAGTGGATTGGGTCATGTGACTATTCACACTGGATTTCAGCAAGGAAACAAATGATGCAGAACCGTGTTTATCTGGAGCTTCTGCTTCAGAAGCTTTCCCAGATCCTGCCGTTGTTACCTGAGAGGAAACGCTGCTGCTGCTTTGGCTGGAGACAGATCGATCTCCATCACTTGTAGAGCTATTCTGACTGGAGATGCCAGCGCTCCGAGCTGAGTTCCCACTCTCTGATTTGATGGCCGCCCCTGTACCCGCTGAACTGTTTTCCTGCTGAGCTGATGCACGTTCTGTCTTGGCAGAAGTTTTTGCATGATCTTGCTCAACTGCAGAACTGTTTTTCCCTTCTATAACTCGTTTTTTGGATGGCTCTTCTACCCCTTCTAAAAAGAAGAAAAACATAGATACATGACTAAGAATACCTCGTATAAAACGGGTGAGACAAATACACATTAAAATAAAGGCACAAAGTGAAAATATTTCAAGACTAATCGTTTCTTTAAAAAGTGTGGAGTCATTAATTTCTTACAACAGTGTTGAATAACATCATGAATGTCTAATATTTAAAAAAAAAACAGCATCAGACAACAGTGGACACTTTAAAATCTAAAGCAGTCAAAGCAAACTATCAAATTCAAAGCCTAAAGACAGATACATAGTTTAGGTTTAACATTCCAACTTTATTACTTATTGATAACATAAAAATTCTGGCTTGTTAAAAAAATTAACGATAATTCCTAATTATATCAAACTTATGCTCTAAACTCCTATGTATGTTCACATCTATGATCTGCTAACCATTGCTACTCGATATCCCTCTTTTCTTCACCTTGGCAACCAGTTCGTCTCTTGTTGTATAGGTTGGAGCATCTGTCACTTTGATGCCTTCAGCCATACTAAGTATTTTATCCATAACTTTTTGAGGGTATCTGAAAAAGAAGAAAAAGTCATTTTTAAAAAAGTGTTTTTTCTAAGGTCCTATTTGTGCTTTGCAAAAAACAGGCCACAGGAACTGCATTTCCTGGCTGCAATCAAGAAAGTGTACCAACTGCCAAGAACTGTTTCCTGGACCTCCATAAACAAGTGCCCCAGGGTCTACGAGGCAGGGCACCTCCTCACTAACCTTAAATCTAGCACCCGTCCCCAAGAGCGTTGTCCCCTAACACCAGCAACCCTACCAGTAGCTCCCCCCACACCACGGGGCACACAGACGTCCGGGAATCATGTCGGCTCCTCGCAGGGACACCCTTCTCACCCTTAGAGGGCAGCCGGGCCGGCAGATTCCCGCGCTTCACAACTTCCCCTCCCCGCCGAGGCCGGTCCCGCGGAGGGCGCCGAGCGCCGGTCTGCAGGTGGCAGACAAAACGGGGCGTGCTGGTTAGGGACGCTGCCTCACTCACCGGCACCCGAGGAAGACGTGGTTCGCCCAGGCCATGGAAAAGGAGATGAGCTGCTGCAGCTGCCGGTTTCGGGTCCCGCTCTCGGCGTCGGCAGCTTCATCCGTGCTAGCGGAGGCAGCGCCGCCAACGGGGGCCAGGTCCCCGGCGTTGCGGAGCAAAAAATCCCGGCGGTGGCGCCAGTGTTTGTCAGTCTCGCCGTCGCAGCGCAGCGCCTCCACCCAGGCGGCCACCCGCGGGTTCTGGCTCAGGTACTCCGACACCTCCTGCGCCATGTTGGGCCTGCAGGCCGCGGAGGCCGCGAGCACAGCTGCACCGGGAGACAGGCACGGAGCGCCGGGAGAGCAGCCCTGTCACTGCGGCCTGCACCGGCGGCCCCCCAGATAACGCCCCTCCAGAAGCCCAAAGACCAAACAACAGCGCCCGGAGCAGCCGAACCGCCCACTTCCGCCCGCCGCCGGCTTCTTCCCTTTTATAACCTCGCCGCCGCCGCGCGCCCTCGCGTTCTTCCGGCGCGAGCCGGCCCTCCCAGGACGCTTTGCGGCGCCGGGGCCGCCGCAACGCTGCGTCCCGGTCAGGCCACGGAGGGGACCCCGAGGGTGGGGGGAGCGGGCGTCGGGCGTCCCACTCCCTGTGAGGGCGGATTTCAAGTCGGGCTGCCCCGGGACGACCGAGTCGCGGCGGAACCCCAGGCGTTCTGGCCTCGCTTTGTGACGCCACGCACTGCTGTCGCTCTCCTCCTGCGCCGGGTCAGCTGCGGCGCCGGGAGCAGAGGCGAGAGGGGCAGGGCCCGGCATGGGAGGCAGCCGGGCGCGGCGGGCAAAGTCCTCCAGGGCGGCGCCCCGGGGGACCTTGAGCCGCCAGCAGCCGCGGGGCCTATGGTCCCCGCTCTGAGACGCGTGTGTGTGAGCGGGGCCAAAACAAACAAAAGCCGGCCTCCAAGTTTATAGAATGTCGGGAAGTGCGTCTCGCGCTGCTTTCAGTGTGCCCCAGCGAAGCGTTCCGAGGCCGTCGGGGTCTCGGCGCCGTCAAGAGGATGAGGGTGCCGGTCTCCTTACATAGCAAGGTCACACGAGGACCCGGCTCCGTGTTGCTGTGAGGCTTGCTGCCTTCGAAGCTAGTCCTGGCCCCGCAGCGATTGCGCTTGTTCCCGCAGTTTCTTAGGTCTCTAGTTAATCCAGGCATTGCCTTCCTGTTTTGGTCAATAGCACACCACCACCCCGACAACGTTCTGTCTCTAGAATTTCCTAAAATCAGCAACTTTACCACCAACCGGCAGATGTCCGGAGGTGGAGTGGAAATGTGCCTATTTATCTGTGGGGCCCCAAACCTCTCCCTGTTAGAGCTATATTTTCCTTCTATATATTTTTTTTCCACTTTACGTTTCCCACAGTTAAGTACTGTAACTGCTAGCTTGCTTATTACGTTTTCCATTCCAGGTATACATGCACTTTTAAGATTAATACGTTAAATGATATAAATTATGAATTTTTTCTTTCACTAAATGTAGACTGATGTAAAAATGCATGAATCAGAATAATCAAGCAAAAAAGGTCGCTTTAGGTAAGGTCAGATAAGGTTAACTGTGTAATTTATGCGCATGCTGGAACAAAATACAGCTATTGTATGAAAACAATATTGTCCATTTTCCTGCCATACCAAAAGAAACTGCATAAAAACGGAGGCACAAAGAAATTTTGAAGCTTATGATTTTGCTTCTAGTTTGCTATTCCTTCCTCCTTTTCACAGATAATTGCTGAAAATCTAGAGGGGGTGGACGGATTGCAGAAATCTGGCTATTTAAAAGGTGGAGAAATTATGATTTCTCCTTTCATGGACCATAGCAAGTAAAAAAAGCTATGATCGCATACCTAGATTATATATGTGAATTTTAAATCAAGAATGTTCTCACGGCCGGGCGCAGTGGCTCACGCCTGTAATCCCAGCACCTTGGGAGGCCGAGGCGGGCGAATCATGAGGTCAGGAGTTTGAGATCAGCCTGGCCAACGTAGTGAAACCCAGTCTCTACTAAAAATACAAAAATTAGCAGAGTGTGGTGGCACGTGCCTGTAGTCCCAGCTACTGGGTAGTCTGAGGCGGGAGAATCGCTTGAACTCAGGAGGCAGAGGTTGCAGTGAGCCGAGACCTCGCCATTGCACTCTACCCTGGGTGACAGACTGAGTCTCCATCTCTAATAATAATAATAATGACGTTCTCACTTTTTTTGTTGTTGCCCTGTAGTCTTCCTCCCATTCATGGGCTTCATTGCCTTGAAGGGAGAACAAATAGAGCCTGAATTTCAAAGTTTGTTTTAAATTATAATAAAAGCAATAGAGTCTGAAAGGTGGAGGACTCATTTGCAAAAAGCTGGTGCTTGGCAGAAAAGATACATGTATTTTTCTTTTTCGATTCTTAAAAAGTTGACTTTGCAGATAAAGATTCAAAGACTATGAACAAGTAGCTGGGACTGCAGGTGGACACCAACATGACAGGCTAATTTTTTATTTTTTGTAGAGACAAGGTTTCACTATGTTGTCCAGGCTGGTTTTGAACTCGTAATCTCAAGCGATCCTTCTGCCTCAGCTTCCCAAAGTGCTGGGATTATAGGCATGAGTCGCTGTGCCCCGCCTCATTTTTTTTTTTTTTTAAAGACCCTCCCACCTACAGAGGCAAATTCCTCTCTGAGCTGGGGGAGATGTTCTGAGAGAAAAGGTGAGAGGACTTAGGTGATAGCTAGGAAAATCTGTGGGATTAGGGAATAAGATGCAAGGAGGTAAGTGTTGGCTGTTATAAATTGCTGAGTAGATTTTGGGTCTAAGAGTAGAAAGACTTGGCTCTGCCCGAGTTTCTGACAGAAGACAGCGCAATAGTGCTCTGAACCTGTATGCCTTGGCCCTTAGAATGAACATAGAGGGGGCCTTTTGTAGCTTTGATCACCAACTATACGGCTCCCTCCTTTGCCTCTAACACAGACGTGTGTGTATATATACGTATGTGTGTATGTGTATATATACACATATATACACACACGCGCGCGCATTTACACACATATCCATCAGGGCCTAGAGGAGATCCAAAAGGTTCCCAAGAAAGAGTTGAATGGTGAAGTGCCTACCAAGCACCAGGGTCCAAGTTGAATGAGGCTGGGGGTGGTCAGCCTGTCAGCAAAGGAAGATGCAACTAGTTTTCAGCAAGTCATCAGACCAGTGCCCATCAGGCCACATCAACAGGAGAGGACCCTCAACCTCTCCTGAAATGATCAGTCTGCCTTGCTTGTGCTGGTAGGTCAGGCAGTTACACTCTCAGCAGAGTCCACAGGGAAGAAAGCACGAGACAAGGCTAGGATGATAACCAAGCTTCTCCCCTCCACTGCCCTCACTAGAAATCTACTCAGAGGAGAAAAGGGAGAGAATTCTAATGAATTGAGAAAGAGCCACTATCATCCCAAATTGAGTTTCAAACAAGTGACTGAGTTCACAAGATTAAATTTTCTGCTGTAAGTGGAAGCCCATTGACTGAAACGTGCTGTAGCATATCTCTCTGAAGACATCCAATAAAAATTCCAGCAGCAAGCTGGCCTTTCTGCAGGTGGCTTTCCCGTGGAGCACCATGAAGAGATTGCCCCTGTTCCTGGATGTCACTGTGGAAGCAAGAAAGCCTTTGGCAGGAAGATCTGCATGTGGAGTGCAGAGGCTTGTGAGGAGCAAATACTCCAGTTATGGCCAAGGTTATGACTTGATGTGAGAAATACTTCATGGTGAGGGGAAATCTTTTATGCTAATGATGTGTGAGGACACAAATCTGCCAAATTACAGTGATAAGGTGGGATGTCCTGAAAATCCAAGCAAGAATTTAAAAGCGTGATCCCCTCTGTCAGAAGCTTCGAGAAATCAAGTAGGAGGAAGATTGGTAGTGACAGTCTGATTAGGGATTAGAGCCACCTGTGAGCTTGGCAAAAGCAGTTTTACTGCAGTGATGAAGGCAGACACCGTATCAGAGTGAGTTCAGGAGTCGGAAATGGAGATACTTGGCTGTAAAGGGGAGAAGAGAGAGGCAGCTAGACAGGGTCATGGGGTCAAGGTGGCTTTTCAGTTTCAGATGGGAGTAGCCTGAGCGTGTCCTCCACTGCTTGAAGGCAGCTCACAGAAAAGGAAAGTTTGAGGATCCTGAAGAGAAAGAGGGTAATTAGCAATTTCTGAAGACATAGGTGTGGCTGGGATTCACACACAGGCGGAGAGATTAACCTTAGGTGGGCAGACACCTCCTCTATTTTAAAAGAAGACTTTTGTAAGTTTGGAACTGGGAAGTTGACATGTAGGCCATCTGATGGTGCAGAGAATGCTTGCAATGGATATTTTAGAGGGCAGAAGAGCAGGCTGCCTAGATGAACATAGTTTTTTTGGCCAATTTAAAATTACAGGCTGGGCGTGGTGGCTCACGCCTGTAATCCTAGCACTTTGGAAGGCTGAGGTGGGCAGATTACTTGAGCCCAGGGGTTCAAGGCCAGCCTAGTCTACATGGCAAGACCCTGCCTCTACAAAAAATACAAAACATAGTTGGGTGTGTTGGTACATACCTCTAGTTCCAGCTACTCAAGAGGCTAAGGTGGGAAGATCACTTGAGCCCACGAGGTGGAGTTTGCAGTGAGCTGTGATCGTGCCACTGCATTCTAGCCTGGGCAATAAAGAGAGACTGTCTCAAAAAATAAAATAAAATAAAATGAAAATATAATGTGTGCACACAAAAATGAAACATCTAAATAGAAAAAAGAGGCATAAATGAAAGCAAGCAATGTCCCTCACCCTGGTCCCCCTCGGTAGACATCAGCATTCATGTCATTTCTATCTTGATTTCTTTGGGTGATTATTTTCATAACTCCAAATTAAGTGCTTATACTTCCATTTCTTAATTTTTCAACTTTAAGCGGTACTTATTTCACTCCTGAATGTTGAAGCTGAGAAATCCATATCATTTATGCTAACCCTTTTTTCTTGTAATTTTTGTTATTTTTTATTGTTTTCCCATTGGCTACCTGTCATAAATTCAGATATTATACTTAATCATCATTTTTTAATCTGTCAACTTCAGGCAGGTAGCTCTTGATTTCTACATCATGTAGGAAAATTCTGAAGGAGAGACTATATTGCAGATATTTGGATATTCCCAAAATATGCCTTTAGGATAAAATCCAATCTCTCGTGATAAATTGACAACAGATAGATAATTCTGAAGTTTTCCTACTTATCTGCAGGATTTACGCCATTGTTTTTACATTAAGCCTTAACATTAATAAATGTTAATAAGTTTGTTTGCTGCTGTGAGGATTAAGTAGATTGTGAAGTTATACCTTTCATGGGGGTGAGTTTCTAAAACCGGCATGTAAATGGAAATCAGATGTGACTCCACTTTACCTTCTTTTCCTGTAGTATCACAATTGACCTCTATGCGGTGGCTCATGCCTGTAATCCCAGCACTTTGGGAGGCTGAGGCGGGTGGATCACCTGAGGTCAGGAGTTCAAGACCAGCTTGGCCAACATGGTGAAACCCCGTCTCTACTAAAAAAATACAAAAATTAGCCAGGCGTGGTGGCGGGCACCTGTAATCCCAGCTATTCGGGAGGCTGAGGCAGAGAATTGCGTGAACCAGGGAGGCAGAG